TGTAATGAATATTGCACAGCGACGCAAATTTTAGGAGCAAAAAATTTTGTCTAGGGAAAGATTTACCACATGCTTTCAAGGAATTGCCAGTGCAAGAAGTAAAGAGTTCAATAGAAAAACAAAGGCAGTTTGACCTATTCTGAAGAATAAGCATTGTTTCTCTTCCTCTTCAAAAAGCCTAGGAAACTGGCAAGGAATCCAATCCGTGGCTTGAACACCAAATATTGGTTCCTTCTGTAACCCCATACTCAATTTCCCTTGGCAGAGTCAGGCCCCAGTAAGAATTTCAATGCATGTGCGAGACATCTCCAAATAAGGGCACAGGGAGGAAGCAAATATATACACATTTTGAGGACCAATGCTGAGTTTATCCCACTTTCTTACAGTGGAAACTGTCCCTGGTTTCCAGCATTCACAGAAGTATGCATAACTCTTATCTTATGAGAAGAGAAGAGACAATAATATTCTATATTTACAAAATGGTAAATAAACCATAACCTAAACTGTCACCAATACAGTCTGCCCAAAATTCCTACCAAGCAAAAATGTTGCATGTCAAAACTTCAAATTTGTGGCTAATACCGATTTGTGTGTCTTGCAAATATATTTGTCCAAACCTACGTTTGAACTTGTCAGTGTGTGTGACTTTGAATTGGTAGCAAATAATAACCTTGTGCTTTTTCAGGAAGACATCTCGAAGTCAGTTGTGCCCCAAGGATAAAGGAACAGCAAGTGCTGTTGTTCCTCTATTCCAAAGCCACCACTTTTGCTCAAAGTCAATGTAAAATAGTCCTGCGACCTGCTTTTTTCCACACCTGGTTTTGGTTCTTCAGCAGATGATGAATCAATGACTTGACCTTCCTGATGAAATATGTCAAATTCCTTCATCCGTTTTTGATGCAGTGGTTGTACTGAATAATAGGGGAGTTGAAATTCGTGAGATTCCAACCTGAACCAGAGAGTTACCAGTACTCCCAGCAAGAGGATCCCAAAAATTAATGATTTTTGAACTGGGTTCCTCCGAAAGAACCTGGAAACGGAACTATGACAAATGGATTTTGATGAGTGAACGTTCCTCCACATCTCCGAATTGAATTACGGTTCTCCCTCCTGTATGCGGCTCTGTTCAAATGAATAAAACCTGGAGTTGAGTTCACGGGTTTTCAGCAGTGTTTTACGTCACTTTTACCCCATTATACTGGGTAAAATTCCTTAGAAAATGCACATTCTCTGTCTGTTAAAATGAAAATACTGTAGTGATATGGAAAATACTGTAAACTTAAATTAAAGCTTCGAGGAATAAGGAAAAATGAGTCCAGTATGTTAAAGGATTGAGAATGTCAAATTGATTTCGAAAAACGAGGATTTTCATGCACTAGTGTATCCTCTTGAAAGCTGTGAATATTTTTGGAAGTTATCTAATTGTGTCAATGGTCTTCGAATTGTTCTTCCATTAGTCAAATTTTTTTGACGAGAATTGGTTGTCCACCACAAAAGAAGCTAAATTTGAAACAGTGACATTTTATTTGAATGATTCCCAGATTTTTCAAGACGTTAAGATACAAATTTGATTCCCGAGCGTTGGCAGATTTTTTTTCGCACCGAAAATGTTCAATATTTTCAACAGGATATCTTTTTGCCACAAAATCAAATTTAGTGGCTTTTGAATGCAAAGCGTTGTATTTGAGCTTCATCAACACTTCCGAATGATTCCTTCGCAAGAATTTGACGATCACATGATCAAAAGAACGGAAGAAACTCTGTAAAATTCTGAAAAGTGACAACGCATGAAGAAAACGCGTCTGGATTAAAATGTAAACGCTCTGCATCATACCTTTTCCATGAAATTCAAATTGTAACCGGAGAATGACAAATCAGGATCTTCCGATTTTGCAATTCCCGGGAACAATTACAATAATAAGATGTTTCCTCTGTTCAAAATTATCTCAGCCTTACAAAAAGAGATTTCTACATGCGAGTACTGTTCCTTGAAATAGTATAATTTCTTTGCAGATGAGGAAATCCTAGTATATTTCCTACTTAGTTGGCCTTTTCTACTTCACACAACGGAATATCACTCAAGCGGCAAACGGTGATATTTCCCAGGAATTTTTAAGCTGACAAAAATCAGGTGATCAAACTTATCTGAGATACCCCAGAACTTACTTGCAAAAATGTTAAGAACAAGTGAATTTCAATGACGAAATCACAATCTGATGCACAATGATTTTATCTAGTTCTAGTGGATTCAATGTACCATCCTTCTGAAGAAATAAATGAAGAAAGAGCCTCATCAGTTACACCTTCAGTCCAGCAACCACCAAAGCAATCACTTGTGTGTTTAAAGCAGCAACAAAAAACTCAGTGTGGGCTTTCATCACCTCAACTTGGTCTGGTGTGTGACAGCTCATTTTTTATTGAGTTGGTTTTTGAGACATACTGTAGTAATTCATTTACAGTACTTCTTAATAAGGAAGTTCTTGGTCCATCTCTGGCTGAATTTTGGGCTTGAATTAATTTTTAACCTCCATTTTAAAATTATTTGTCTATGGTTAATATCCTGGGCTTTAAATCTGGAAGAAGTCAAGAGGATGCTAAGCTTCAAGGCAAGAGTTTATTTGCCCAATTAGTCCTATGCTTCCTTTAAAACCACATCATGTTCAATTTTCATTGCTTTCCTCTTTTCATGTTCCAAAATGATGGCCAGAGGCCTCCACAAATTCGAGTTATGGAGGTTTGCCAAGGAAAGCCTTGGAGTTTAAGTGAATTCAGTCAGGGACTTCCAAAAAATCAAGATAAAGGGGTACTTGATTGAATGAGGTTTCAGTTATCCAAGTTCTGCCATAAGAGTACACACCTTTTTATGCATCCATTATCTTTTACTTATCAAACTTTTCAGCACACCTTTGCCATATTGAGTCTGATTTGGTGCATTAAAACTTTGTGAACAACTTCTACAGGGATACGTTTGGTTTATATAAGTTTCCTCCGAAACATGGAAGATGAATTATTAGACGAATCGTTTGCCTCATTTTGAGAATCCCGATCTCTTTGGCGTACTGTATTACTAAATCTTTTGAAAATCTGTGCACATTTTACTTTTCTGAGCGGGAATAAAATTGCAGCTGCCACTTTTGAAACATTGAACGAACTTGAAACTGACATGAAGGTGATGATAAATCCGCCTAAAGAAATTACGCGCGAATAAAATGAAAATTAGCGGAGGTAATCAAAACTTGGAAGTCATTCAACAAGTCAAATTGCACGTAAAAAAAAAGTTCCGGGTTTATTTGCACTTCCGTCTCAAACCTCTTCCTGGATACAATTTCTGATGGTCTGGTAATCTGCATCATTGAAAGCCTACTCGGTTGAACAAGATATTCCTTGATTATACAGCAATACAGCATCCTCAAAACATGAATGAATTCCATCTGCATCGTGTCAGAGACTCCAAAGAGCCCAAGACAAAGAAATAAAAGTTTTAGAAAATAAAGGAAGGCACAATAGGCAGTTTGTGGCCAAGACTAGGTCTCCTTGAACAGTGTAATTCAGTAACACACATTGACAATAGTTTTCACATTCAGGAATCAGGACACACTTTTTTAAGAGCACTTTCAGGAACTGATCCCTACAAGAATCTCAAGATGAGTGATGATCTTTGGTGCTGTGGAGTTCCGGGACCAGTACTGGAAAACTGGTTTCCAAGGTCGAGTTGAGGTGAGTTCTTGTGGTCAGAAGCAGGGTTGTGAAATATTAATCGTTTATGTGTTTGTGGCATTTTCAGGTGGAGCAGTGATTGGAGCGTAAAGGGCGACACCTTGCGGTCCCTGACAAAACCCCCTGGGCTTGCTTGGCTAGATGGCGTGACGGGCAAGTCCATGGTCTGGGACCTGTTTGGTCGCCATGACAGTGGCAGTTGCCATTTCACTTGGAGTTTTTGGCAGGAACGGTTGGGTTGAATGGTAGTGTAGGCAGGATTTTGAAGATGTGAAGTGTGTTTGTCGGGTTTTGTTGATGTGGTTGATTTTTGATGTATTTTGTTTGAGCTGCGCAGCTGTGTCTTTTTGTTTGTGGGTAGGATATTCCTTTTCTTTGGTTGTGATCCAAAGTTTGATGGGCGACCCTGTAATGGGGGTGCCGCAGTTTTTTTTTTTTTTTGACTTCTTTATAGCGGTAATTTCGTATTAGCGGTAATTTTGTATTCATATATCTTTGCGACCCTGTAATGGGGGTGCGAAGCTCTAAGTAGCAACCCTGTAATGGGGGTGCTTTGTTGTATATGTTGAAGTACAGATGAACAGCAGTAATTGACGATTTTTGTGGCACTGAGGCCTAGTGGTCAGCAGTGATTGACGAGTTTTTTGTGGCGCTGAGGCCTAATGTACAGCAGTAATTGTTGAAATGCATGGCCCTGAGGCCTGATGGTGTTCAGCAGTGATTGAAGATGTTTTCAGGGCTCTGAGGCCAGTGATTGCTTTTTAGTAATTGATGGACGTTTTTTGATGATCCTTTTCAGGTTGTTGTGATGGAGAACTAAAAGAAAGAAAAGATAAGACTTGAGATGAGCGGCGAACGTCGAGATTCAATTGATCGAGGTGCTGCTGAGACATATAGGTTTATTGACAATATTGATAAGACATTCAATTTTTATCTTTTGCAGAGATGGCCAAGTTGGAAGACAATGGGAGAAGCACGCCTGAGAGCGTTTTAGTCTGCTGATTTCGCCGTTGGTGAGCAGATTGGAGCCAATTCCTGGTCCGTCTACGCCAAAGCTGGCACGCTGTGTTGGTGTGGATGGGGTTGTCCAATTTCCTGGGGCCGTCCAAGACTTGGCTGAGACATTCTCCCAGTTTGACGCTGATCGTTGGTCGCAAATCCACACGCTTGTTCCTGTCAAGGACACACAGGCTTGCACGGATGCGGTTCATATTGGATTGGAACAATCATTGAGCGCTAGCCAGAAGCGCGTTGAGGAACTGCGTATGGACAATCAGCGGATGGAGGACGAGGCTGCTGGCTTGGAGCAGCATCAGGCTGTTGTCCAGGAGAGGATGCGGTTGGATCCTGCTTTTTTGGATGGAGCCGGATCAATGGCGACTGCTGCTACGGCACAGGCAAAGGATGCTTTCTCGTTGGCTGTCTCTGCAAGTGTTGCAGCTCTGAAATCGCTCGGCCGGGCGTGATATGCTTCTCTTGCCCGACTTGGTAGGGAGGAAGGTACGTTTAGGTCGTGTTTTTGTTTGTGCATGTATTTAATGTGTTTGTTGTGTAGGCAAAGTGAAGATATTTCAAGTCCGTGGAAGTGGCGGGATCCAGTTGGGTGTTGGTCCGGATTCCAAACTGATGAAGACGTGGCTTAAGGAAGTAAAGGTTATGGCTGGCGGTTGATCAGTTGCGGATGAGCGAAAGCAAGAGGGAGAGTCTCGTGTGGCTTTGAAGGCAGTTTTGGACGCTGTCATGTCAAGTCCCTTAGTTGGATGTGTTCCTCATCCTTTGGTTTCTTCTGTTATGGATGTTGAGGAGGATGACGGGGATGTGATGTTGTGCAGTTCTCAGGGTGTTCAAAAGGCTATGTCCAACGTCTTTTTTGGTGGTGAGTTATTTTTGTAATATTCATTGAATGATTTAAAAAATGAGGTTGATGTTTGAAGGTTCTGCCGGAGAATGGATGTTTAAACCAGAAAAGAGAGCTGAATATATAAAGGATATCTGTGTGAGAATGGGTATTACTGAGATAAATTTTCAATGCATTCGGGGCATGAGATTGCCTGTTCCTGCCTGTGCTGTCCAAAGTGTCGCGTATTGGAACAATTATTTTGGATCGTGTGAAGAGGAGAGGATGGGGCTTGAGGGAAAGCCAAAGGTGTTAGTGTTTGGTACATCCCTTGTTGCCGTTTGGTTCTTGTGCAGGCCAGATCAGGCATATTTGACCCGTGTTGGAGTTACTTCTGATGTTCCGCCGGCTTACAATTTCAGTCACTTGACACAGGGGATGCCATATGATGTTTATCAGGTTTGTTTGTTGTTTTTTGTTGAAGTTGGTTGTGATTGATGAAGAAATTTTGTTACTTTAGTACGGTGTGAGTGGCCTGAGTGCTGTAGTGGGGTCACAGAAGAGCAGATGGTCTCCGGAGGAAATTTGTTGGCGTGTCTACCGCGACCTGTGGTTGCATGAAAATTTCCGATTCACCCATTTGCTGGTGCGTGTGGGTACAAATGATATAAAACATTTGTGCAATGCAACAGGAGGTGCAAAGTTCACGACAGTTGTGGAAATGTATGCTGCTTTAAGGACGTATTCTGAGGACTTGGCAACAATTTTTCAATGCCCAGTTTTTGTGTTGGGCGCATCTCCTCCTGGTCATTGTGACAGGAAGAGGGCACAGTTTTGAGTGGACGGTGGTGGTTACCCTATGTTTCCTTTGAAACTTGAGGATGGTTTGTTTGTGACAGAGGAAGCAAAGCTAGAGGCGGCAATGATTGTGCAAAAGGCATTGCTGATGAAGATGTTGGTGAGTGATGTAGGTGGCGCTCACAGAAAAACTGAGAAGTGTCCAGGGTGGTGGGCTTTGCTGACACCGCTGGATTATTTGGCTTGCTATGTGAAGGTGTCTTACACGTCGTTTTCCTCTTTCGGGCATTTGAATCCGGGGGCCTTTATCTCGTTTGCGAGGGATCATGCTGCTGCAATTTTGTTTGCTGTCACTATTACGTCAGGTGAGGTGTTGAAGGATACATCTCTATGTCCTGGAGAGGGCCCTATGAGGTTGGATGATGGGACAGCAGTTGAGGGCAAGTCTCCTTTGTCCAGTCATCAGCATGTTGTTTGGCAGGTGTATCGCCCTTGCCTTTATGATGCTGTTGGCAGGGTGTCTTTTGGTGGTCAAGGGATTAAGGAGAATCCTTTTGACAAGTAAGTGATGGTTGTGTTTTGACATAGTTTTTGGATTTTGAAGGTTGATTTTGCTTAGATGTGTGGGTATCTTGGATGGAGGATACTGTGAGACATTTGCAATGGATACTTTGGCGTCCACTGGTCGTCAGCGTGGAAAGGATGGACATTTTATAACCAGAGATGTTGTTGTTATCAAGGAGACAGGAGTCGAGAAGGTGGTTGCTGTTGTACACTGGGCTTTGTACTGGGTAGTTGGGAAGGGTGGTCGTCAGTTGGTGAAGGACAGTGAAGTGACGGCTAAGTAAAGAAGTTGGGTTTGTTTTATGAAGAGGAAGTTTTCCCTTGGTTGGTCTGTTTTGCGGGTAATGAAGTACAAAGATTGGTGAAGGGGGTTAAGGGGTTCATTGTGAGACTTGTTTGTGGTAATTTGTTTGAAAGGGCGCTTCTGTGTGTTGAGCTTTTTTGTTGATGTGATGCGAGTTTTTTAAGTTTTGTTCCAAAAAGACAAATGAATTTGTTTCACAAGGCCGTTGTATGATTAATTGTATTTGTTGTTTGGCAGTCTTGAATTTCTCATGGGATGTGTTAACCTAGATACTCTATACTTGTTGCAGGTTCTCTATATACGGAAATTACCCATTTTATTTCCTTCCAGGAACAAGTGGTGATTTTCTCCCTCTGCAGCTGTTCCTTGTTTTTCTCCTATGCAAAACGACGTCCGCATTAATGCGTGACGCTTTTCCCTGTAGAAGGCCAAGCGCCTATTTCCCCCTCTTTTTATTGCTGACAGTGACGGATGCCACTGTGANATTGAAGTGAATTGAATTTATATTTTTGACCTTGTGAACTCAAATTCCGTTCTTGAGAGCAAGTACGCCGTGTCGTCTCCTCTCCGCGAGAAAAAAGCACAAGAACCAATCAACCTAGTACCCCAAGGACCACGACGGAAAAAAAAAGACAAACGCAAGTACTGTATACAAAAAGTGTGCAAGAAAAGTGAGTCAATTTCCATTGCTTTGCTGAAAAGCACCCCAGCCCAAATACACCCATTTGTGCCATTGCCAACATCGTCATTGTGCCAAACAAGAGAATGAGTGGAGAAAACTCAATTGACAAGGGTGAGTGTCAATTTATTGTACCCTTTGGCATGAGGGACAATATTGTGACATGTGTCTGCTTTCACGTTGTTTTTGCAGAGGCAGCGGATTTGAGCAGTGGCTCCAACGGCACGAACAGCGTCCCGTTGAGTATGGAAAATCAGGATTTCGAGTTGCCACGTCGGAAGATTCGACGGCTTGACAACGACGTGGGAGTGATGAGGTTCCCAAGCGGTGCGGAGGAACTGGCTCCGGTGTTCAGCTGTTTGAATGCGAAGTGTTTGCACCGCTTGAACACCCTGCTGCCGGTCATCGAAACCTCAGCCTGCACATACATGACAAAGTCACACTTGGAACAGAGTGTGGCGATCAACCGTATGCGGAGTGACAGGGTCCAGAAGGATTCCGATGAACTGGACCACATTGCAACGGAGACGGAGGAATGGCGTGAAGCTGTAGAACATCAAATTGCCTCTGACAAAGAGCGCATTTGTTGTGGTGAGGCCCTGATTGCGGCCTCTGATGACTATTTAAAGGAGGCCTTTGCTTCTCGCATGCAAATTGATGAGGGCCATTTATGTTCAACATTTGGCAGTGGTGGGATGTTGTTATTTTCCGCGTTCAGAGCTCGGGAGGAGCTAGACGGTACATATAAACAAGTGTTTGCATATTTCAAACAGTATACAGTGTTTGTATTCCTGCAGGCTGTGTTCGCATCTTTGATTTGGCTGGAGAGCCAAAATTATCCATGGCGTATGGGCCATCCGACGATCTGTGGGAGCTCTGGCTGCAAGAGTACGATGCCCAAGATCTTTCTGAACCGAGGGCGACATCCACACCTCCGATGCCGCACAAGGTGACTGTCCAGGCCTTGCAGAGTGCACTTGAAAAGTGAGAAGAAGTTGGAGATTGTCTACGTTTGCGGTCATGCGAATCTGCTATGGCTGGAGCGGTCGTGGACGTCAGAGATGGTGACTCAGATGACGCAGGAAGCATCCCAACCGCTGAAGTACCGCAATCGATAAATGAGGTTTTCTCCACTTTTCGTAAGTGTTTGAAAAAAAATCCAATGTTTTTAAGTTTGTATCATAACTGTTTGTATCAATGTCGTCTCAGGTTGGCGTGCAACTGGTTGGTGGGAATTTGATCCCGAAGATTGGGACCAGTACGTGATGAACTTTGCAGAACGTATGGGCATTTCGGAAGGAAATGTTCAGAAGATGAAAGGCCAGCATCTGCCTACTCCTGGATGCAGTGTGCAGGATATTCTGTACGGAAACAAAGCCCTTGAAATCATGAGGGACAAGGCACGTGCGTGTGCGGCAGTGCGGGTACTGCTTTTGGGGACTTTGTTGATCTGCCCATGGAGGGTAGGATCCCCGGATAAGACCTACATCACCCATGTTGGGAAGAAGGAAGACCAAGTCTTTCCCGTGTTCGACTTCAGTCATTTGACAAAAGACCTGAAGTTCGACGTATACCAGGTTTGTGTTTGAAAAATGATGTTTGTACCCATTGAAGTCATCCTTTCTTTGTTTGCAGTATGGAGCAAGCGGCTTGTGTGCCATCTACGGAAGCAGATACAACCTGTGGTCAGCCAAGGACGTTTGGAAACATGTCTACGACGATTTGAAGCTTCCCGAGGATTTCCAGTTCACGCAATTGTGCGTTAGAATTGGAACAAACGACATTAAGGAGCTTGTGACGGTTACTGGGCCTTGCAAGTATACCAACTTTGTTGCCTTCTTCAATGATCTGAAGGCATACTACCGACGCCTTTCAAAGGTGTTCAAATGTCCCGTGTTTGCTTTGGGTGCTTCGTCGCCTGGAGAGTGGGTTGGAGACAAAGTCAAATTCCGTCTTCATCGGGAGACTTGACTCCCTTGCTTTCCCCTAAGGAGGGTTGATCGTGGTTTCGTCACCGTGGAGCAGCGTCTGGGCGCTGGTTCCTTTTTCCAGGGACTTTTGGACAAAATGCTTCATCAAGAAGTAGGAAGACTGCATGGCCATTCGTTGGACGTGAAGGGGTGGTGGGCCTTACCCACTCCATTGGATTATTTGGCTCCGTTTGCTAAGATAACGAAAAGCGACTTCAAATCTTTTGGCCATTTGAACTCACGGGCCTATTTGTGGTTTGCCCGCAACCACGTGGTGGCGATGTTCTTCGCAACATTGATAACGGCGAGGGATTCGGTGACAAATGTGAGGATCTGTCCAGGTCAAGCACCAGCATGGAATCCGGATGGCACCGCCTTGCCTGGGAAGTTGCCATATGAGCCGCATTCACATTTTCGGAATGATTCGCTGTATCTGTGTCCGATGTTGGCTTGTGGACATGTTGAATTTGGTGGAGGCGGCATGGTAAAAAACCCATTCGATGAGTAAGTTGTGTGAATGAATGTTTTTGAAAAGAATGTTTGAATGTTGATCCATGTCTTTTTCTGATCGCTTCAGAATCAAAGATTTGTTGCACAAAGAGTATGAGGAAACCTTTGCCTCGGAATTGACGTGGTCTTCAAGAGACCAAGTTTTGGCCCAGCGGAGATGGGGTGGCGGGATGGTGGAATAACGTCGTAATTCCAACACCGGATTACTGTCGTCAAGCCTATCCTGGAACAAACTCGTGAAAAAATCTTCCCGCACTTCACAACTGGACCAACCTTGTACAGCAAAAAAATCCTCAAGTCCCAACATCTTGGGTAGAACATGAAGACGATGTTATTCCTGACGAAGATATTCCGCAACGAGTTTAATTCGTGACAACATTATTCCTGGCTGACAAGGTTGGGCCTGGCGACGTTATTCCAGCCACCTGGGGTAGCTGGCCAACTGGATGCATCGTGAAGGTGGTAGAGGAAAACGAACGCATGATCATTGCCATGTCTGATGACAATTGGCTGTGGTTGGTTGGCCCACGCGGACGCGTATTGGTTGCCACCAGTGAAGTTGAGGCTGAGGTGCCTTATCCGTCAAGTCGGAATAACTAATTTGTTTGAAACTCCAATGATCTCCCATTTGAGGTATTTGATCTTGAGGTTTATTGGCTGTTCCCTTTTGTTCGTATTTGACCAGTATTTGCGAGGCATTTTAATGGTTTGAAACGGGTTGCCTTTTTTGGTAAAGAATGTTAACCAAGTGCCTCTGGTCCATGTATATAAACATACGTGCGTTAATCCTTCTTTGTCGGTGATAAAGTTGAATCTCGTGCTCCTCTTTTTTGGCGGCTTTTTTGTTTTTGGTGATTGTTTGTATTTTTGCATCGTATGAATATGACCGGACTTTGTTGACACATTTGTCTTTTACTCTGGTGCTGTAGTTGTTTGTTCCACAGACGTAATCATTTCTGGTTTATCCTCAATTTCCAGGGGAACCAAATTCTGGATTGACTGACTTGTCAAAATGTGTGGAGTTGATGTTCCATCTCGGTTATATCGGCGTGACGTCAAAACATCCACTGATCGGATTCGGTGGTCTCTGGGACTTCTGTAAACTTTTAATATTTTGCATAACTTCCACTTGAGACGTCCCATTGGAGTGTCATTGTGGAATGCATTTTGTTTCAATAATACAATTTGTCCAACTGATGGTTCCAGGTATGTTTGGTTGAATTTCTGTTTCGCCACTGGAAATTTCTGTAAAGTTGTCACATACCCATCATAAAATGACTTCCACAATTGTTGGACAATAGCAATGCGAAACTTTGCAAGCTTAGTCAATCCTTCTTTGTTAGTATGTTCCGTAAACTGAATTGGATTTGGTCCATACCAGTATGGGTCGAAGTCCGGGTCACTTGTATAATCAGCTTGTGGTGTGTTCAAAAACATGGATGGTGTAATAGCAATAGGATCATTCCGGTCCATTGGCACATAAGTCAATGGTCTGGAGTTGATGACTCTTGCCACAAAGGTCACTGCTGATCTGACCGTATTCCTGTTTGTAAAAGCAATACCCCAAAATCATCTTGCCAATCGGTTTTTGATAATTCCCATCATCCTCTCATAAAACCCCCCCACCAAGGAGCTCGGGCGGCATTGAAATGCCACTTGACTTGCTTGGTGGTGAATTTTTGCACAAGTTCCTCCTGATTTGCATGTAAAAATCTTGGCCATGCTGCACGGAATGTGGCAGCATTGTCAGAGATGATGTTCCGTGGCTTGATGTACCCCCCCCCCCCCCCACCAAGGAGCTCGGGCGGCATTGAAATGCCA